GAGATATGTTCATGAAGAAGTTGCTCATGTTTATGTCCAAGAGATTTTTCCCTAGGTTTTTTTCTAAGTTTTATGGTTTCATGACTTACATTCAGGTCTTTGATCTATTTCTAATTTACTTTTGTGTATGGAGTTAGACAATGATCCAGTTTCATTCTCTTACATGTAGGTGTCCAGTTTTGCCAGCACCATCTGTTGAAGAGACTGTCATTTCCCCATTGTATGTCCATGGTTCCTTTATCGAATATTAATTGACCATATATGTTTGGGTTAATGTTTGGAGTCTGTATTCTGTTCCACTGGTCTGTGGCTCTGTTCTTGTGCCAGTACCAAATTGTCTTGATTACTGTAGCTTTGTAGTAGAGCTTGAAGTTGGGGAGTGAAATCCCCTCCACTTTATTCTTCCTTCTCAGGATTGCTTTGGCTATTGGGGGTCTTTGCTGGTTCCATATGAATTTTAAAACTATTAGTTCCAGTTCATTGAAGAATGCTGTTGGTAATTTGATAGGGATTGCATTGAATCTGTATATTGCTTTTGGCAGGATGGCCATTTTGATGATATTAACTCTTCGTAGCCAGAAGCATGGGATGAGTTTCCATTTGTTAGTGTCCTCTTTAATTTCTCGTAAAAGTGTCTTACAGTCATCATTTACATTATTCTGCTACTTCTGTTTGTAATATGTTGATTTTTCTTTCATAAAGCTGCTTCAAGTGTTTCTCTTTATCTCTGATTTTTAGCAGTTTGATTATGATGTTTTTCTTGTATTTGTCCTCCTTGGAGTTTGCTGAGATTCCTGGATTTTTAAGTTAGTATTTTTCATCAAACTTGGGAATTTATCAATCATGACTTCTTCAAATATTTTTTTCTCCCTCATTCTGTTTTTCAGGGACTCAATTAAACATATGTTATATCCATTACTAGTGTTCCTCAGTTTGCTGAGGCTGTGTTGATCCCTACCCTCTCAAAAATCCTTTTCTCTAGATTGGATAATTTCTTTTGATCTTTCTTCACCTTTACTTCTACTGATCCTTTACTTCTATTGTCCCATCTAGTTAATTTAAAATTTCAAATATTTTAATTTTTTGGTTATAAAATTTACATTAAAAAGTTTCTTTCTCTACTGAGATTCTCCCTACTGAATTTCTTCTTTAGAGAGCTATTTAGTTATTTTGTCATGCCTAGTTATTTTGACCATGTACCTTTAAGTCTTTGAATGTACTTATACCGACTGTTTTAAAGTCCTAATCTGCTAATTTCAATAACTGAGTCATTTTGGGGTCCATTTCTATTGACTATTGTTTCCTTTTTGATAACATCGCATTTTTTCTGCTTCGGTTAATGTCTAATAATTTTTTACTATATATTGGACATAGTAGATGATTCCTTATAGGCACTTTGGATTCAGGTACTCTCATTTGATGAATGTTACTTTTTGTTCCAACAGGCAGTTAAAATACTGGCTGATCGTCTTGAAATTGTGGAGACTCGGATTTACACTTTGTTAGAGTATGTCTGGAAATTCCAAAGTGTTTATTAATCTCTTCTGACTTGGTGGAACAAAACTCTTAAAATGTTTTGCAGTAGGGAGGAAGCAGCTGAAATCTCTGCTTAGTTCTTTTAGCCTTCAAGCTGTTTTTTTCTGCTGAGTTTCTTGTGGTCTCTTCCATGTGTGTGCTGTTCAGGGCTTAGCCAGGTATTTAAAGGGAATTTATATTAAAGTATTTGGGGCTCCCTCTGTTACTCACTGCTTTCCAAGATTTCTCCCTTCAGTTTCCAGCTGCTGTGGTAATCCTGAACTCCATCCTCAGGTACTGCAAGCTAAAAAGATTGTTTTTTTTCTCAAGTTTTAACCATTCTGTACCACAGGGTCTGTGGGGGCAGAAGTGGGCGTTCAGGGAGTTCTCCAGTGGGGGAAGCTGTATGAAAGTGGATCTTACTCACTGTGTCTTCTTTCAAGGGCAGATACCCTACAGTTTTTGTCTACTTTTCAGCACTCTTCAGTGCTTTCAAATAGTTTTTTATTTCTTTCTTTCTGAATTTAAGGTGTCCCTGAATTATCTCATCTGAACATAGTCTCTGCTTTGAAAATTTCCACAGCATGCTCTACTCTTGCAGTTCTTTGTGCGCATGATTTTTCTCCTTCTAGTTATCTATTGCTGAATTACAGATAACTCCAAACTTAATAGTTTAAAACAGCCATTGTATTATGCTTATGGTTTCTTTGGGTCAGGAGTTTGGAAAAGCACAGCCAGAATGAAGTGTCTCTTCTCCATGTATCAGGGGCCTCCCCAGGGAAGGCTTAAAGACTGGGGGTAAGGTTATAGCTAGAACAGCAGTAACCTGGAAGTATGTACTAACACCTCTGGCAGCTCACCTCCAGCTGTGGGCCAGGACACTCGTACATGGTCTTCTCAGCCTTGTGGCCTTGGAATTTTTACATGATGACTTAGAACTATAGTATTAGTGTTCCAGAGAAACAGCTACAAGCTGCAGTGCCTTTTATGATCTAATCTCAGAAGTTGTATGGCAGAAGTTACATAGCATCACTTTCTCTACTGTATTGCTAAACCACTCTTCATTGTTGGCCCAAATTCAAGGGGAGGGACATAGATCCACCTCCTAATTAATTTGGAGAAGTGTCAAAAAATTTGCGGATGTTTTAAAACCACTATGTTCACTTAGCAAATCATAAGCCCCACTATGTCCTAGCACGAGTCCTATATACATGTCAGTATTCACTGAAGTATTGAGTTTTTCTTCTTAATAACAGTAGATTTGGACCTAAAGTAAATTTGTGTTTAAACTTTAAGAAGGTAGTAAGATATTTTACTTCCTGAAAACACTTCCTCAGATTGATTATTTTTTTGTCTTTTTATTTATAGAATATAATGTTTAATGAAAAATCCATGATTAAGTGGTGAAAATGGCAGGCTTCCTAGATAATTTCCGTTGGCCAGAATGTGAATGTATTGACTGGAGTGAGAGAAGAAATGCCGTGGCTTCTGTGGTAGCAGGTATATTGGTAAGTGAAAAAGCCTGGTTGGTGACATTTATGTCTCATCTGTTGCCCTGAAAGTTAATATTGATTCCTGTGAACTGTGTATACCCTTCCAGAACTATTTTATTTCACTCTTGTCTTATATAAATAATTATCAGAGTTCTAGATTCTGTTACTGAGCAAAAGTAGGCCCTGGGTTCATTTGAGTTTATAACTTTGTTAAACTTAGTATCTTTTTTTCAATTCAAGTGATAATACAATTATTGTAGGCAGTAGCATTTTTTTATTAAGGTATCATTGACATACAATCTCATGAAGGTTTCACAGGAAAAACAGTGTGGTTACTACATTCACCCTCATTATCGAGTCCCCCCTGATACCCCATTGCAGTCACTGTCCATAAGTGTAGTAAGATGCCACAGAGTCCCTACTTGTCCTCTCTGTGCCACACTGTCCTACCCATGACCCCACACACACCATGTGCACTAATCATGATACCCCTCAATCCCCTACTCCCTCCTTCCCCACCCGCCCTCCCTCACCCCTCCCTTTCGTAACTGCTAGTCTCTTAGAGTCTGTGAGTCTCCTGCTATTTTGTTCCTTCAGTTTTGCTTCGTTGTTATACCCCACAAATGAGGGAAATCATTTGGTATTTGTCCTTCTCTGCCTGACTTATTTCACTGAGCATAATATCCTCCAGCTCCATCCATTTTGTTGCAAATGGTAGGATTTGTTTCTTTCTTATGACTGAATAGTATTCCATGGTGTATATGTACCACATCTTCTTTACCCATTCATCTACTGATCGACCCTTAGGTTGCTTCCATATCTTGGCTATTATAAATAGTGCTGCAACAGATTTCAGTATCTGTTATATTTTAAAAGTTTATCTCCTTGTGTATATGGTTCTGTACTTGAAGTCCAATAGGAAACAATAAATAAAGCAGAACAGGAACTAAAGATAATTGTGAAGCTATCTGCAGGCAGAATTCTTTTAGATGTGTCTATGTTTTTCTTGCTCTTTATGATAATCTTGTCTGCACTTAGTTTGTCTATGGAATTCTTTAGCAACTTGTCTACTTTAAGTCTATTTAGGTTACAGAGAAACATTACATTTTATAAACTGTTCAGTTAGTTATGCAGTATTTAATCAAATTACTTAATTAAACTGTAGCAGGCTTAGTCTTGAAGACATGACCACTCCTTCTAAGCATACAGCTCATTAGTGGAAGCAGAGGTGCTTGAGCATATTGTAAAGGGATGTTCTCTAGAGAGAATGAAACACATCAGGTAATCAGATTGCTGGTTAGTTGAGAGAGCTTCCCTTGTATATAATTATGGTGGGTGAAATAAGCAGATAATTCTTTCCCAGATAATTAAGTTTTATCTTGTATTGAGAGAGAACTTTAGAATCTTACCCAGATTTGATTAGTTAGGATCACCTCATAATCTATAAAGAATAAGTAAACAAGGGATTCTTATTTTTTATATTTCAACATCCAAAACTGAAAGTAGAAATATTTTATGTTTCACATATATGGTCTGTTGAAGAGAGGAATGTCAAGAGCAGGTATCATGCCAAGCCAAAGTGTGTTATTTAATAGCTTGGGGTGGTCTCAAGTTTTTTACAGGTTGGTGGATAATGATTGATGCAGCCGTGGTATATCCTAAGCCAGAACAGTTGAACCATGCGTTTCACACATGTGGTGTATTTTCCACATTGGCTTTCTTCATGTAAGTATGAAGGTAATTCTCAGTTCAAGACTATTTTTCTAAAAACATTATTTCCTTAAAGTTTAATGCTATCTGGAATAACTTTTTTATTTAATTGATATATTCTTCTTTAACATTATATATATATATATATACACACACTCCCGTTTTATTAGTTTTTTTATGAAGAATGTGTTGAATTTAGTCACCTTTTTAGCATTTATAAAGATTATCATGTCATTTTTCTCCTTATTTATTAAACTGGTCAATTATTATATTTTATCAGTCCCAGATTATTTTTCATATTTTCATATCTCTTAATACCAGGGTGCTTCTTATAGTCAGTGGTATCTTATAAAATTTTTTTCTTTCTTGGTGGTATAAAAGATAATGGTAAGTTTTAAAAATCAGTGACATCTTAGATTTAATATGTTACATTTCTAGATTTTTTTTAGTAATGGGTCCCCTTGAGTATTGTAATACACTCAACTTTTACATGGAGTATTATTTTTTTTTTAATATGTTACTTGACTTTGTTTGCCAGTATTTGTGGGGAAGGTATGATAGGCCTCAACTGATACTGGTTTATGGCATTTCTTTTTTTATTAAATCATTTTTAGGTTTACCAATTGTCTCACTTCATAAAAAAGTTTGGAAGTTTTTCATAGGTGTCTTTTAATATTTAAAGAAAATATGTTAAACATTAAGGTTATATAATTCCCTAAAACATATAGGTGTTTCCAAACGGTTAACTGTAGAAGATGAAATTACTTATATCCAAGCAGGATGCTAAGAAAAGGCAATTCCTATTACAAATGAACCTTGCTTTAACAAAAATGGAAAGAGAAGCTGAGCATAGTGAGCCTATTTATTTTATATGGGCCAAATATTCTCTGAGAAATGGATCAGAGAAAATCACTTGACTTCTAACAAAAAGATAAACTTTTTAACTCTTGATTGTAATGAGTATCTAAAATGGGATAACTCATACTGTCATTCATGTATAAATGTAAAATAGGCAAATAGAAAATCTTCCCCTCTTTCATAATCTCTGGAGACAAGTGATAGTAATCTCTTAAAATTATGTTTTCTGGGTGTACTTTAAATAAGACCATTTCTATCCACTAGGATAGTCATTAAAAGATATGTTCGCTTATTCAGATATGACATTAATTGAGAGATGTTTCCCTTCTAAATGATACATAAATATCTGAATATTTCAGTGGCATGAAAGCTGATCAGATGGTTTTGTACTGTTCCAGGATAAATGCTGTGTCCAACGCTCAGGTGAGAGGTGACAGCTATGAAAGCGGCTGTTTAGGAAGAACAGGTAAAGGCACTTTGAGTTATAATGTACGCTGACAAAGGAGAGGTTTATTAGCAGAAAAAGCAAAGCCTCTAGTGAGTCTTTGTCTAGGACTGGTAATGATTATATAGAATCTTTTTAGCATTACTTAAATCCTAAGAAAGTTAAAGTCTCTGTCAGAAGTTACAATTTTTGTCATATTATGCTGCCCATTGTGTATAGATAAAATGTTACTATCCCAAATCAGTGAAACTTGGCCTCCAGCTCACTCTTCCAGTGCTAATGATGGATTTATTCTTATCCCAAATGTCGATGGATAATATCACTTAAAAGATAGCTGACCCTGACCACTAACAGCAAACTATGGACACATTAGGACGTCAAACCTATGTTTTCCACATTCAGTTCTGATCAGCTGAGTAATCTACCACAGACTGCAACAAAATTGTTTAGAAGAAACATACTATTTGCCTCTCTATTAAATTGTTTTTGGAGTTTGAATTCTTTTGAATTGTCATCCAATAATATTCCTTTATTTAGGTTTTGACCCATTCTATTAGATCCAGGGGTTTGTTTTCAGTGAAATTTCTATGCCGTATGTGAAAGTACAGGGCTCAGTGTGTATTTCCAACCTTTTAGGACTAGGGTGATTTGTTGTTACGTTTGGAAATTTGGAGTAAGTGGGAGAGGAATTTTAAAAGATGATTAACAGCAAATACTTGTAGAAAACTTTGGACCAGAGACTGTCCTGAATACTTTATACATATTAACTCATTTAATTGTCACCATAGTCTTATAAGTGCTCTTACTGCCCTCAGTTTTAGATGATGGATTAAGGCACAGAGAGTTTAAATAAATTATGCTAAGTCATAAAACAAGTGAGTGGTGGAGCTATGATTTGAACACTCATTCTGGCTTCATAGCCCATGCTTTTAGCCACCATGCATTGAGGACCATTTGGTCTCTTTGTCTGATATAGCACCACATATATATATATTGGCTTGATTGAGTATAATGTATATAAAATATAAAATTCACCAGTTTACAGTATACAGTTGGAAGAGTTTTAGCAAATGTATACCAGGTACATTACTACCACTATAGTCATGTTATAGAACATTTCCGTTATTCCAAAAAGGTTCCCTCATACCCCTTCATAGTTAGTCTCCTTCCCTCCACATCCGGGCCATCATTGGTCTGCTTTCTATCATACTTTTGTCTGGTCTAGAATTTCAGGTAAATGGAATCATGAAGTAAGTATGGTAACATTTTAAACCTCATAAAGGGAGGTATGAAGAGCTTAACTTTTTTCTCATGTCAAGTGGTAAGAACACAATGTGAGATTTGTTCTCAATAAATTTTCAGTGCACAATGTTTTACAGCAGATCTCTAGAACGTATCTTCTAGAGCCAAAACCTTATGCCTATTGCAGCAACTCCCTGTTTCCCTCTGCCCTATCCCCTGGCTGCCGCTCTTCTACTCTCTGATTCTATGAGTTTAACTATTTTACGCACCTCATACAAGGGAACTTCTTAAGAAAGATGGAGCCCTGTTATATCCGACAACGTGGATGAACCTGGAGGACATTATCTTCAGTGAAATAAGCCCATTATAGGGGAACAAATTAGCTTTCCTTCCTTTTTTTTAAATTGAAGTATCATTGATATACAATCTTATGATGGTTTCAAATACACAGCACAGTGGTTCAGCATTCACCCGTATTATCAAGTCCTCACCCCCTCCATTGTGGTCTGTCAATGTAGTAAGATGTCGTAAAGTCATTAAGTGTATTCTCTGTGCTGTACTACCATTCCCGTGACCTACCTGTATTGTGATGGCGAATTACTATGTTCCTTAATCCCCTTCTCCCTCCCCACCACCCTTCCCAACCTCCCCTTTGGTAACCACTAGTTCCTTCTTGGTTTCTATGAGTCTACTGCTATTTTGTTCCTTCTGTTTTGCTTTGTTTTTATACTCCACAAACGAGTAAAATCATTTGATATTTGTCTTTCTCTGCCTGGCTTATTTCACTGTGCATAATACCCTCTAGATCCATCCATGTTGTTGCAAATGGCAGGATTTCTTTTCTTTTTATGGCTGAATAATATTCCATTGCGTATATATACCACATTTTCTTTATCCATTTATCTATTGATGGACTTAGGTTGCTTCCATATCTTGGCTACTGTAAATAGTGCTGCGATAAACATAGGGGTGCATGTCTTTTCAAATCAAGTATCTTGTTTTCTTTGGGTGAATTCCTAGGAGTGGAATTACTGGGTCAAATGGTATTTCTATTTTTAGTTTTTTGAGGAACCTTCATATTGCTTTCCACAATGGTTGAACTAATTTACATTCCCACCAACAGTGTGGGAGGGTTCCCTTTTCTCCATATATCCTTGCCAGCATTTGTTTCTTAAATTAGCTTTCTTTTCTACCTGATTCTTTAAATGCTGATGCAGATTGTATAACTTCACTTCCATTGGGATCCTTGAGGAATTGGAGAGGAGAGGAATAGTGACAAATGACAGACTAACCTAAGTTAAAAGTTCACAGTGTATGCACATATATTGTTAGAATGTTGTGCATAGAGCACACAGTAGTTTATTTGATCATTTTTCTTTAAAGAGTATTCCACAGACTTGCTGTAGATTATGTACTATTATCTATTCTCTATAGAAAATTTTATTGTAACTTACCCAGCTTTTTTAGCTTAAAGGTAGAAATTGTATTTTCCTTGCTTCTGTCTGGTTCCCATACTTTTTACCCTAAGTGACTATTAACATTTTATTCCACAATTATTTTCTACCCAGTTAAAATTCACATTACAGTTTATATTTTTATGTGGTACATATAGTGCAAGTTTTGTCTATTGCTTCAAAAATTAAGGGCAAACTGTCTTATAAGCGTGCTTAGGTATTTCCACACTAAACTTTCATACTACTTAAATGGTTTATGTAACATTCCCATTTCATTTCCAGGGGAATTTGCAGGAAAGTATTATGAATGTAATAAGTACCACGAATGGAACTGTTAAATAATAAAACTCTAAAAAGGAATGGGAACTAGGTAGAAAAAAAGATCATGTACTTAGAGTCTAGAACAAGATGGCTACTTTTGATTGTTCATTAACTGACTCTGAGCTTCCTTGCAGTCAGAGCAAAAAAAAGGGAAAATAATACAGGTTTTCATGTTTTGCTAAACAAAAACATACTCATGTCTTAAGGGAAATTTTTGTCTTGTTTAATTCTATTGGAAAATTTGTGTGTGGTCATATGTAAAGGACATGAAAGAAAATAGTTATAAGGATTTTTGATAGTTCTTTTAGTCACTTAGGATAAAAGCTGTGATTGGATATAGCTTGGAGGATGTCTTTTCCTAAGGAACTAAACATTACTGTATATTTCTGGAGATCTGCTTAGTATTAAAATAAAATTTATATTATCTAGAGGCCTATTTCCTTAAGTATCAGCTGTTCTAAGCATGCTGAGTTTTGATCAGTGTTTCCTGCATATCTGGTTTCTAAAACACATGTATTTCTATTCATTGAGTAACAGAATATCTGAAAATGAGAGCCAAATTTAGCTTTTTATTGTGGAAATTGGCTTGAATTTTATTTTCCCTTCAGTGGAGCTTTCTTCCCCTCCTTCAGGATGGGCTGTCAATATACCTGTGATTAGAATATGGTGCAAATGTTAACCTGCTTTCTAAAGATGTGTTCAGTCTATTCAAGTGTCCAGATGATTACTTTAATGAGATTCTATTGTATAAGTTCTAGAATTCCATACAGTAGAGGGTTGAAGAAATGCGTCTGACCTTGAACTGTTCAGAGGTATGTTGACTGCCTCAGTCATAAAAGAGACTGAATATACTTCTGAAGAATGGCTGCTGTTTGCACTATACTGAGTCATGGCATAATTCCAACATTGATGAAAAGGGAACATATTGGTCCTCATTCATTTGCAGTCTCATTCCTGTGTGGTGATAGTCATCAGATATATTTGCTACTTCGAAAGAACAATTACCTTGATAATATATACAACAGGATAATTTTCCAGGTAGGGTTTATTTAATCAGTTCAGTAGAATAATTACTTATGAAGCTCTCCTGGTTTAGTTTACTCAGCTGTTAGTTTCTATAGCCAGTAAAAAGGTAACTTTCCCTTTTTCCAAGTACGGCTTTAACCCTTCATAGTTTTTTAAAAAAATCTTCATTCAATTAGTTGTTATAGCAGTTGTATGCAAGCATGTGATCGTCTTTGATAAGTATAACATTTATTAGGTTAACAGTGTTTCTAGTGGTATGCATTCTTAGGACAGTTACAGAGATGAGCAAAATCATAAAGCCTATTCTTCACACAGGTGCTCGAGTTTGGCTCTTCATTGGTTTCATGTTGATGTTCGGGTCACTTATTGCTTCAATGTGGATTCTTTTTGGTGCATATGTTACGCAAAGTAAGTCTTTATTCCTCCTTTATTTCACTGGAGAGATCCAAATATATTTTTTATATTTGCCATGGTCTGTTAATTACCTGGTGTAAAATTTAGTTTAATTGTATTTTTCAGTTGACTGGAAGATACGTCTCTATGAGGAGATACATAAGTTATTTAATATAAGTTTCTCAGTGGGTCATTGAGTGCAGTCGGATAACCTGGTTAGAAAATCCAAGCCACCGACAAGACCATGTAACTCTCAGCCATCTGAGAGTCTCTGATTTCCTTCCTTTCCTTGGACAGGAAGGCTGTATATATACAGCCTTATACAGCCAGGCTGTATACTAGAGACCTGTTTACTGAGGGTTGTAGTGGTGAGAAACCTGTACAGGTCTACAGTCCCTCATACACAATGCTAAAATCTATAAGGTGCTGAAAGTCGAGTTTTCCATACCCAGCTTGCAGTGAAACCAGACCTAAATTGACGTGTTCTTTATTTCCACTTAAGTATGCAAATGTGTTCTTGCAGGAATTTGGTGTATTTGATTGTCAGATGCTGGACCAGACCCAGCTGGGGATGCTATGTAATATTTATGCCCCATGTTACCATGCTTAAATCTGAAAAATTCTAAATTTCAAAACATACCTTACCCCAAGTATGTAGACCCTGATTTCTTTCCTTCCACTGATACCTCCTCCGTCCTTCCCAAGCCTGTAATTTTTTTGGTCATAGATACAAGGGGAGTTTTTAAAAGGCAAGACTGAAGACGTGTGTAGCCTTCATATAGAAACTGTTGATGCAGTGGAGTGAGCTCATAGAACACCATTCTCAGTTTTCTGGCTGTTCTAGACACCATAGCTTTTTATCCACAGGGGTTGAAAAGCAGGACCCAGTCCCAGCACTGCTTCTGGAAGCATTAGAAAAACCTGTTTCACTGGCTCTTTCCCTTCCTCCGAGATAGGAGTCAATTTCAGATAACACAGCTTATTCATCTTCTGATCCCTCTACCCCTGGAATTACTTTGTCACTCTTAACTATCACATCTCCTTGTCCTGACCCACAGCTCACCTTACTCTTGATAGGATCCCTTCTCTCACAGTTTGATCAGGGTAAGATCTTTGGAATAGCTTTGTCTTTCACTTGGCATAAAATGAATCAGTGCAAGAGGACAGTGGTGGACTAATGTTTAAATGGTACTGCCCACCAAATATATCTAAAATGTGTTAATTAAAAATACTAAATGGAGCACACAGTTCTAGTATTAAGCTCATTTTAAGGAAAAGTGCTTATTTATTTTTTTGTTTTTTTATTTAGGAAAAGTGCTTTTTAAAAAACAGCTTCATTGAGATGTAATTTGTATATCATGTAATTCACCCATTTAAAGTGTTTTTAATATATTCACAGAGTTGTGCCACCATCACCCCAATCCAATTTTAGCACATTATCATCTTTCCCAAAAGAAATCCCTTACACGTTGGCTGTCACTCCCCATTACCCCTCTCCACCAGCCCTAGGTAACCATAAGTCTGCTTTCTGTCTCTGGAGACTTGCTTATGTCATATGAGTGTAATCATAAAGGGAAGTTCATTTTAAGCTCATTTTATCCTTGACTCTGGGAGCCGGGTGGGCTGCTATTACTGATTTCTTTGGGAAGTCTGCATAATTACTTGAAGCAACATGTGAAACTTCCAGTTTCTGTGATGAAAGTAGGAATAAATTCATTCTTGAAAGTTGTGTAGGAAAGTATTAAGGCTGTAAAGCTTGTACACTCATTGGTTGTATCTTAATCTTTAGAGAACTAGTACATATTGAGAAATTTCTCAGTTATGCATCTCCATATTTCTGTAGCATTGCTCATTATAAATGCTTTTCTGTTTGAAAATTATGTGCTTTTACTTCAAGACAGCATTTCTAAAACATTTCAAATCTTTTACTGTACAGGTTTTCTTGAACTATTAATAGTAATAGCAGCTAACATTTACAGAGCACTTTATGGGTCAGGTACTGTTGTAAGCACTATACGTAGTTACACATTTCTCATTCTGTGGGGTGGGTGCTGTTATTCCCATTTTACAGATGAGGAAACAAGGCATAATGAGGTTCAATAATTTGCTCATGGTCATACATGTAGTCAGTGGTAGAGTTAGGATTCAAATCAAGTGGTCAGGCTCAAACTTCGAGCTCTTTACTGTATTTCTGTGTTGTTTGCTCTGATATCAAAAGCAAAAAATTAAATGTTTCTTCATCCTATTCAGTATTCAATATTTATAGTTTTATAAAAGATTAAATATCCACAATTTAAGTAGTTTCCTATTTTTTCTTTTTCTATGAAGATACAGGAGAGATTCAGTGGAAGAACATGATGAATTATAATGATCTTTTTTATACCTGTCAGATTTGCATAATGAAGCTCCTGAATTCATGAAAGAAAATAAATGAACAGAATATTAAATCATTAAGAATTTAATTTGTATCTTTCTAACATTTTGCATTTTTATACAGTTGTCCCCCCTTATCTGTGAGGGTTATGTTCCAAGACCCCCTGTGGATGCTGGAAACCATGGGTAGTTCCAAACTATGTATACTGTTTTTTCCTATACATACATACCTATGACAAAGTTTAATTTATAAATTGGGCAGAGTAAGAGATTAATAACAATACTACTAATGAAATGCAAAATTATAACAATATACTATAATAAAAGTTATGTGAATGTGGTCTCTCAAAGTATCTTATGGTACTGTACTGCCCCTTGTGATGATGTGAGATGATAAAATGCCTGTGTGATGGAAGTGGGTGAATGACATAGGCACTGTGATGCAGCATTAGGCTACTCCTGACCTGATGGGAGGTCAGGAGGATCGTCTGCTTCTGGAGCTCGGTTGACTGCAGGTAACTGAAACTGTGCAAAGTGAAACCGTGGATATCGGGGACCACTGCATTGGCCACGGAAAGTAAAGGGGTGCAGTGCTGCTTCAACCATTTGGGTGCAACTAGAACCCCAGCAGTTACTTCAGACAAAAAGAAAACCTTGTAAGTTCATTGTCTTTTATCCAGAGTGAGAGCAATCCTTTGTTTTGGGAGAATGAGATTGGCATTTTCTTATTTCTATTTTGTTCAGACTTCTTAAGGTTAATAAATAGCAGCAATATTTTGTAGCTGTCTTCATGAATGGCATGAGTATTTTGTTACTGCCATCTGCTGTTTGTAATCTAATCTGTTTTATTTTGTATGTACAGATACTGATGTCTATCCAGGACTAGCTGTGTTTTTTCAAAATGCACTTATATTTTTTAGGTAAGTTGCCTCATTTCTTAACTAGTGCCTTTTACATTTACAGAGATGTCATCTTTATTATAAGAGCAGCGTATACAATGGAACATGTACAAATTCTTTGGAAAAGTTACAATGTGTAGAACTTTTAAAATTTAGTGAAAACTCCACTGTTGCTTGAAAGCATACATAAGCCCTTTCAGTAGGAGTCCTGCTATGTGCCAAAACCTCAGCTGGTTGTTTTATATATGTTAACTTTTTAAATTCCCATTTAACTCTTAAGTCTGTAAGTCAGGTGGTGTTTCCATTTTATAGATGAGGAAATAAAGCTTAGAGTTTACTTAAACCCAACCAGTCAATACAGAGCTGGGATTTGAACCCAGACTTCTGCTTCCATAGCCTGTGCTTTGTTAAAAACCATACCAGGTACTTTACTGAAAAAGAAAAAAAGAAATCAGAATTAACACATAGTATGCATGTTATATGCAAAATCTGGTTAAGGAACTGGATTTTTTAAGTAAGTTTTTAAGATAACCTAATATAAGTATAAAAAGAAAACAATATTAAAAGTATTTTTAGGGGCAATTTTCTAAATAGCCCTCAAAATGAAGCCTGTAATCTGTGCTTTTCAGGACATCAATGTCTTTTAATGAAAAGATGGGTATTCTAGGCATCCATTTATAAAATTATATCTCCCCCAATCCCATGAAATCATTAGGATCTAAGCCCTGAAGAACTTCATTTTTGTCACTGGTTTTAAGCAGTTTGATTATGTTGTGTTGTGGTATAGTTTGCTTCATATTTCTTTTGTTTAGGGTCCATTGAGTTTCCTGGATCTGTGGGTTTATAGTTTTCATCAAATTTAGAATCTTTTCAGCCACTATTTTTCACATACATGTTTTGTCCACCCCACCCTTCTGGTATTCCAGTTACATGCATGTTAGGCTGCTTGAAGTCATTTCACAGCTCACGAATGCTTACTTCTCTTTTTGTTTGTTTTCTCTCTGTGTTGGAATAGTTTCTGCTGTTGTATCTTTAAGTTCACTAATCTCTGCTTCTATCCAGTATATTTTTCATCTCTATTATATTGGGTCTTTTTACATTCTCCAGCCTCTCCTTAACATGCCCAGGCTTTCTTCTACCTTGTCAAACATGTAAAGTATATTTATAACTATTTCAGTGTCTATCTAATTGTTAGTTCTGAGTCTGTTCCTGTTATTTCTATTTTCTCCTCTTAAGGGGTCTCTTTTTCCGTTTGCCTCTTTGCATGCAGCTGGTTGGGGCTAGATTTCGTGCTATTCCTTTAAGTGTTCTTGAGCTTTGTTCTGGGTACAGTTAGGTCACTTAGAAACGTTTTGATCCTTTTGAGACTTGCTTCTCAGCTTTGTTAGGCAGGACCAGAGTAGCTTCAGTGTAGACACTAATTTGTCCCCCATATTAAGGCAATGTACTTCCACGCATTCTTCGTGAATTCTGTGTGTTCTGAGGGTCCTGCTCTGCTTATGAGGTTGTTATGTCTTCCCATCCCTGTAGGAACTTGGGGTATTGCTCTTTCCAATGGTTTTTTCCTTTTCCCTGGGTAGTTTCCACACATGCATCTACTGATCAATACTCAAAGGAAGTCTCAAAGGGAACCCCCCAGAGATCTCCTGGGCTCCCTCTCGTTAGCTCTCTGTACTACTGCCCTGTAAACTCCAGCCACTTTGGCCTCCCTGAACTCTCAACTCCATTTCCTCTAAGGGAGACTGCAATGCTCTGCCTGGGCTCCCTCTTACTTCCCTGTGGCCTGGACACTCGTGTTTTTGAAAGATGTTTGACAGTTTCTGCTATCTTATAATTGTCTTGGGATGGGACCCATAGCCTTCTGGAGATACAATAAGTTTTCGTGAAGATATCTTAGGCACTGTTTAGAGATCAAATTTAAATTTAGATCCCGCCCTTTGTAGTGGTAGATGAGTCCACGTAAACGACAGTCGGAAGAACAGAAATGTTGTATGAATAAAGGCCTGTGTTCATGTGGACAGCAACCACTGTGTCAACTGTGTGCTCTGTTCAGGGGCTGGCAACTTACCTGCCAAATGTGTGCTTCCTATGTGCGGGGCCTGTTCTGAGCACCAGAGAGCAGCCCCTGCTTCTCTGGTCACTCTTCCTCTGTTTCCTTGGCCAGCTAATCCTCCTGCCCCTGGCCACTAACTTTTGAAGTTTCTAGGCCTCTCCTCTACTTGTTCTTTTTCTCTCTCTAGGTGAGTTTTATTATGCTTAGGACTTCATTTATTGCCTGTGTGCTAATGAGCCACAGATGTCTACCTCCGTGTCTAAACCATATACCCCAGTTCCTACTTGTCCCCTCTTGGTGACTGATGTTTCAAATCCAGCACGTCTAACACGCTCCCAACTCACTCATGCTTCTCTTCCTCTTTCCCCTATGCTTTGTGGAGATAATTCCCACTCTTCCTTTAATCTCAGTCAGATCTCTAGCACAGATTCTTGTATTTTACTCTCTCATTACCATGTGCCTCACTTTTACAGCAATTTTTTGCAGTTGGAATTCGTCTCCCTCATTATTCTTTGCTCTTTTAGTGAGCACATTTGTCTATTTGTCTTGTTTTGTCTTAAAGTCACATTGCTAGCCCTTAGCCAGGTGCCTGGGGCTAGGCAGTACTCAGCATAGAATGATCACCTGTTAAATGAAGAATCGCAGCGTGGTTTGTTTTAGGAGGCTTCAGTTACTGTAGCTCAGACGGCACTGAATCTTAGAGACGGAAAGTGGCCCCGATGCGTGCCACGATGACAAATGCCCCTTTTCCTTACAAGTTTCCTAACTAATAACTTTCCGGGTTTTAAGAAAGGGTATTTAATTAAGTTCAGCCATTGCAGTCACCAGACTGCTTTACAAAACAAGCAAATTCAGACCACTACCACCACAATCTTTAATTTTAGAAATTGATAAAAAGGGATCAGTGAGGTACTGTCAAAGCATATTTAGAAACTAAATTCTCTGTTGCTTGTTTTATGTTTTCCCCTCATGATTTATTTTAATATCTTTCTAGCACTCTGATCTACAAATTTGGAAGAACTGAAGAGCTATGGACTTGAGATGACTTCTTAAATCACATTTTCCTTTTGTTATATTCTATTTGTAAATAAGTTTTTATCTCCCAATATAATTTACACATTGCCAAATGGAATAGATTGTACATTAAATGTATTGTTCCTTTATACTTTCATGCTGAGTTTTGAAATAGTTTTATGAAATTTCTGTCCTTTTTTTCACTGACTAGATTGTTAATATGTACTTAAGACTATACAGATGGGATGATGGGTATCAGTTTTTAGTCCTACAGACTTAAAGCTGGATCTGCTCCCTGAGTCAGGATTGTATCATCATGTCATTTTAGAGTTGACTACTTTGTTTCAGTATCTCTAATTTCTGAAGCTGTGCAAAAAATTCAGCTTGGTATATCTGAAATGAGCACTGAGCCATTAAAAAGGGTATTTCAGCAAGTTGTAATTTATTTTGGCTTAAAAATTAGATTTTTTTAAAGGAAAAATATTTGTCCTTACGTATTAAAGAAGTGGACTTTTATATGAAGATTTTTTAATTGCCTGAAGGAGAGTCTGAAAGTGTCTTTTAAAAACAATTCCTCTCATATGACTTTATTTAAAGAGAAGGGATAATAAATACATGATCAGATAAGCTCAGTTTTATATGGTTCATGTAAAAAGACTGTAAGGTAGCTCAGCAATGTGCTTCTTACAAAAGCAGCTTAAATAACCTATCTCCCAGGGTTCTCTTTTGACAGCCTACTATTATCTGATATTACAAAATTCAATATCAAGCAACTTTGAGACAACTGCATTTTAAAAAGCATGAACCATAGAGCAAAAAGAATAATTAGTTTCAAGATAAAGCATTTCTTCCCAAAGAGAATTATTATGACCTAGTGAAAAATTAGTCATTTCATCCACTTAGTTACTGACTGCAAGTCTCTTTCGCTGCAGCTCTCAAGCTTTGGGGGAACTCCTCTTGCAAAGCATATCTTTAAGCTGAAAGTTCATACGCCAGTCAAAAACTTGCAAGCTGAATTGGTAACACTGTATTTGCACTGTGTGTATTCCTGTGGGAGATTTCAGGGGGACAGTCAGGTCTTTATTGCTGCTCTGGCTTTCCCTTGTTGTACAGGTTTTCTGTTGCAGTTTTTTCCTCCAGGGGTTTTTATAGAGCCTTTTGTTGTAAGACAGAATAATATCAGTGGTATTCTATGCAAGCCTTATTTTGCTTACCTTCTCTCCTGTCTGAGAGGATTTACTGCACACAGAGTATGAAGCAGTTGTGGAACGCTGTGCCTTTGTCTCCACAGTCTTGTTTAATCACTTCTCTCTGTTTTTTCCTCAGAATGTCAGTAAACTTTGTCTTGCTTCCAACCAGTTGTAAGAGGAATTACTTGTTTCCACTCTCTTGTAACCTGTGGCAATAAATACTACTTCTCACACATTCAAATATTGTTCAGTCTTTTGGAGAGAAAGAACCGTAAAAATCGGTTTGCTGTTCATTTTTCAGGGGACCAGTCAAAGAAATTTCTCCTAATGGAATAAAGAGAAATACATTATGTTCACATTTGTAAAATGCTGGTGTGAAATGAAGGCTAACAAAGGGCATTCAGAAAGAGCGACTGAAAATAATGGCTGTTTTTTTCTATTCTTGGTTCTGCCATGAACATGTTTTTTTAATTGTGAGCAAATTATGTAGTTTCCCTCTGTTCATTTTCTCATTAAAAAAAAAAAAAGATAATGATAGGATCTACTCTTACAGATATTGTGAGTTAGAAAAGACAGAGGCCTTCATAATCACTTAAAATTAGATGTGACTTTTGTCTTGCCAATGAATTTCAGCCCTTGACAAGTTCACTATGGATTCAGTGAGGCCCAAAAATGACAATGGAACGTTCTTGGGATGAAAAGGTGTTTTATACCCAACTTTATTCCCATGGTGGCAGGTCAGTCACTAGAATCCTGTACACTCAGAGGGAGTCTGCAGGCAGCAGGCCAGTTTCTGCCTCTGGGAGTCTCTACCCACCACAGCTATCTCAGTCTCTGTCCTCAGCACTGCCACCACTCCAGCCTCTGCTCTCCTGCAGCCATGTGGCAGCTGTGCAGCCATGCCACCGCGTAGCCCAGAGTACTGGGCAGAGCTCTTTATATATAGTCTTTATATAGAATCCTGGCCATAGGAACCTTCACTTTCTCCACACTCCATCCCTCCAGGAATTTCAGCTCTCAATCTATGTGCCTTCAATCTGCGATCCCTGTGCAAAGAAGCTGAAACATTGTAACCAAATTCCATAACAACAGAGGCTATAACAATATGCAAATAACAAAACTTACGACAAATTATAATAACCCTCAAGCCTGAGGAGATCCATTGCCACTATGTGGTCATCCTGGCTGTATTCAAACCAGTTCTACTCAAGTGAGTTAACCAAAAGGACCATGGGTGGGATTTAGAATACCCACTGTATCCAGCCTCTCCAGCAGAAAGTCTCGCAGACACACAGGCCAATCTTGTTGCTCTGTCTCTGGCTTCTCCTTCTTTGTCCTTAGTGGCTGGAACTGCTGCTTAGATTTCAATTGTTGCCACAGCTCCAGTAAGATTCTCTTTGACTTTCCAACCAATTTCTCTCTGTCTGCTCCTTCCTTTATCAAATCAACCCACATCTGGGTCCTCATGACCTTCATGAAGCTGTTTAAATTCTTCCTTCAAATAGCAGGCTATTTCCTTCTGTGATTTCATTGCTTGAGCCCGAGGACAGGAGCAGGGCATACAGTGCTCCATGACCTGGGGAGGGGGCTGCACCTCTCCTGGAGGAACCCACGGTTGCCAAGTCTTTATTTGCTTTCAGGCTTTCCACCAACTTTCAACCGGGTGGGGGTTCAACCGAGGAGGGGCTGATGCCTTCAGCACCGGCAGGGCCTCTGTTCATCAAACCTCCACTCCTCCTCCATTTCTGGGACTGACGGCTCCACTACATCCTTCACCTGCCCCACGGCACCCAGCAGCCTGCACTCTTGCGCTGCCGCTTCTTGTGCTACCACGACATCCTTTACCACTTCCACAGCACCTTGTAGTGATGCCATTTCAGTCACCAACAAATTTTTTACCTCCTCAACGGCACCTCACAGCTCACGTTCTTGTGCTGCCTCTTATGCTCCCTGCAGGAGGTCTTTTTCCCTTACAGCCTTTCTCAGTACTCTGAGAAAAAAACTCTGCACCTTTCCTGCCACCTCACAGGCACTGTTTCTCAAAGGACCTACTTATTACACCAAGGGCCACCCCTACGGCCTCAGGTGTCACCTCCACCCCTTCCCAGCCTTGAGGAGGGGCCCAGTCCTCTAGGAGGCAAGTCACGTCAGACCACATGTCCACAGGGGACACTCAAAAGTCTCCCACCCATAGGCACAGCTACTGAAACACTCCTCCTGCGAGAGCAGCTTGTTTTGTTCCTCTGTCAACAATGAATCCTGCCAATGTTGCCAATTGTCTTGCCAATGGGTTTCAGCCCTGGACAAGTTTACTATGGATTCAATGAGACCATAAATGACAACGGAACATTCTTGAGATGAAAGGGTTTATATACTGTGGGATAAAATGAGAGTTCCTGTGGCCAGGATTCTCACCTGGCCCTGGTTGACTAGCTAACTGCACACCTGTGGGCAATTCATATAAAGAGCTCTGCCCAGTGCTCTGGGCACGACACGGCCCACCCCAAGAGAAAGAAAATTTGCTGAATGAAATGGTGTCACTATGAAGTACTGGAGGAATAGTAAAGGATGTTGTAGTAGCCCAAGAGGAAGCAGCACAAGGAGGAGCAGTGGCCCGAGAAGCAGCAGCATGAGCTTGGAGGCTGGCAGGTGCCGTGGGGCAGGTGGAGGATGTAGTGGAACCGTCAGCCCCAGAAATGGAGGAGTGGAGGTCTGACGAACGGGTGAGGGTGGAGGCCCTGCCGGTGCCGGAGGCATCAGCCCCTCCTCGGTTGAGACCCCACCTGGGTGAAAGCTGGTGGAGGAGAGCTCGAAGGACTCGGCAGTCGCAGGTTCCTCAGGAGAGGTGCCACCCCCTCCTCAGGCTGTGGAGCGCTCCATGCTCTGCTTCTAACCTCAGGCTCAAGCGCAAAAGGAAAATACGGTCTGCTTCTCGAAGGAAGAATTTAAAGGGCCCCATGAAGTTCGCGAGGACCCAGATGTGGGTTGGTTTGAAAAGGCAGGAGGAGACAGAGAGAAAGTGGATGGCTGGAGCTGTGGCAGCAACTGAGACCGGAGCAGCATTCCAACCACTGAGGATGAAGCAGAAGCCAGAGATAAAGCAAGATTTTCTGCTGGAGAGGCTGGAGAAGGTGGGTATTGTAAGGCCCACCCATGGTCCTTTTGGTTAACTAATTTGATAATTTGTTGTAATTTTTGCTATTTGTATATTGTCGTACATTATGGAATTTGGTTACAATGCTCCAGCTTTCTTGCACAGGGAGCATTGCAGAGGATTGAGGGCATATAGATTGAGAGGCAAGAATCCTGGAGGGGTGGAGTGTGGATGAATTGAAGGTTCCTGTGGCCAGGATTCTCACCTGGCCCTGGTTGGCTAACTCACTACACACGTGTGGGCAATGCATTGTTACTGACTCTATATAAAGAGCTCCGCCCAGCGCTCTGGGCAACACCGTGGCAGGGCTGCAAGGCTGCAGGACAGCAGAGCAGAGCAGAGTCTGGAGTGGTGGCAGCACTGAGGACAGAGGCCCAGAGGACAGCTGTGCACGTCGACTGTGCAGGCAGAGAGGCCCAGAGGCAGAGACCAGCTTGCTGCATGCAGACTTGGTCTGAATGAAAGGGATTTTAGTGATTGACCTACCACCATGGAAATAAAGTTGGGTATAACCCTTTCACCCCAAAAACATTCTACTATCATTTCTTTGGTCACACTGACTCCATAGTGAACTTGCCTGGGGCTGAAACCCATTGGCAAAACAAACCCTTGGGCTGAATTAAATTAAAACTGTTTCTGTACAGTTTTTTCTTAAAGCTTTTTGTAAAATGTGATTGTATATTTTTAGGAGTGAGGTGTCATTTCAGTGATGTTTTTCATACTTGACACTTGGAAATTTATCTCCTGAAACACTGAGAAATAAAGTTTGGAGAAACTGCTGCTATGGTAGCTTTTGAAGAATAGCTAGAATGCAGAAAATTAACAAAAGGAAAGGGAAATTTGGGAGTGAATGTTGTGGCTTTGGGAAAAGCCAGTGGCCAGACTGATGAGAAAAATGGAGAGGATGGAGAAAGGAGGAAGAGTATTTCAAGATGCATTGTTACTGGAGATTGCTGGTTTCGGAGTTGGGGTTCTCGGGGACTATGGATTTGTGTTTAGTTTGGTTTACTTTTCCCTAAATCTGGCATAGCCACTTTTTTGCTATGTTGCACAAGGCTGCCCATCTGTAAGTGTTTGAGAATTGACAAGAGCAAAAGCCTAGCATAATGCCTGGAAACAGTAAGTGATCGATAAATGGCTGTTATCTGTCCCTGATGGCTTTGCCTAAAGGGTGTTACCTTCCTCCCTCGATGGCTTTTTAGCCTTTCGTCACAAGGTGGCGTGCCACCTTAAGAAAAACCAGTCCAGAGTCCGTTGGTTTCTGTTTTGTTTGGAGCCTGTCCTGTGCTTACTTTCTGTAGCAGTTTTAACACAGCTGAAGTCATTTTACAAAGGGTTTTCAGATTATAATATATGTGTCTTAATTCTTTTAGCTCTACCAAATAGGATATTCCAAATTTTCATAAGTAAGTATGGCAGGACAGGTCTTCTAGTCCCTCGTGAATCAGGCCTATGCAGGGAGTC